AGGGAAAACCGGCTGCACCTCAAGCGCGATCGTGGGTCATCTCATAGACACCAGACAGAAGATGGAACCAGAGAAAGCGATCGATGTTGTTTATCGCATCCCAATAAATCGAGTTTGGATACTGGCCATGACCGAGGCGGTCGCTATTCGCTTACTTTGCTCAAACCTATGTGCCCAAAAACGAGTAGTTCAAGCACTTCAATTGCCTTGGCCCTGTGTGAAAAGGAAAACAGAGTAGGACTTGGGCCTTGATCCAAATGGAGAAAGGTCACATCTACTGACACAGTAAACGCTCCTATACACACGCACGTTCTCTTCCCCCGACTCCGATTAATGACCTTTGGTTGAGCCAATGGTTGCCATTATGTAAGCATATGTGATATGTAAGAGCCTGACTAGGAATATCCGAAAACAAGTGTTCAGTCAGCGACTCGTTTTCTCAATGCTACCATGTGGATATTAAAAATACAGTAGTGGCGGATTAATGATCTCATACAGACACTGAGCATTGTTCAGCAGAAGTATACATATTTCATTGATATGAGGTTATTGGTGAATCCCGTTGAACTTTACTCCATGTAATAACAAGTAATCATATTTTGGTATGCCCTCGGGGGATTTTTTCGAGTCATCCAAAAACGAACAACCGAGGGTTTGGTCGGGAATTTTGTTATGCCATTTAGTTACAGCTAGTCACGACCAAGTGACGCTTCTACCTATAGATTGCATCGATTAGAATACAGCCCAGATTCTTCAATACCTCACTAAAGCAACTCCACCCCACCCCTTCTGTCGCCACAGGCTGCTGCCCACGCGCTGCATCACGAAGCTCGTCTTTGGTCTAGTCGTGATAATGAACTGATAGCGGTCACCAAACGCATGGCTGCTCTGATGGCCCAACTCAGTCAAGTTGTCCGGTAGGTATTTGCTGTTGTGATCAACAACCTTTAGTACATTGTGTTGATTTCCATGCGATGATCTTTTAATTCTTCGAAATTCCCATTTTCGTTTTGATCCTGTGCGAACTGCGAATTTCAGCGGTGAATATGGCACGAAAAAGGATCTGATCAATGTCGCCATGGCTATTGCCGAAGCTTCCCTCGATGTCAACCGGTGCGCCAAAGTTCTGGCTAAAGAATGTACCGATCGTCGAATTCGTTCGGTAAGCCAGAATATGCTTATCATTTCATTTTAAACTTAATAACTGTTTTTCCTGTCCGGCCTAAACATGCAATCACAACCTTGACCGTGAGAGCACGAAACAGTTAACAGGGGTGGCCTGAATGCACTGCGTGAACAGTGCTGACGGTACGCGTATATTAACGGAACATTGAGTATTCGCCCTCAGATCAATGCATCTTAGGACAAGTGTGTGTTTCAGTTGTCGAGTATGCAGTTGGTTGCCTGTTTATCTTGTGGAACGCTAGTCACGTTATCACATATACCACCTTTGGTTGATAGTGCAGTTGAACGCGATTCTTTCCGTTGAACGAAGTCGATTTCAGTCCCGTCGCGGATTTATGGGCAACACTAATATTCGAGAGATGTATAATCATCATCCTGATACAGCCAAGCTGCCAGTACTGTATTTCATATCGCAAAAAATCAGAAAGTTTAATTGAAAATCGCGTGAACGACAATCTTTTTATTGTTTCACTCGGTACACTTTTTTAATATTTTTCTTTTTTGTGCGTAAATGTTGTTGCACTCAGCAGGATTCGTATAAAACAGTCTTACCATTCGCAACACTGAGCCCTTCAGAAACTTGCCTAGGCGGTTGTTGTGCTCTGCCCTGCCAACGAACAGAGAGCGCCGATCGATTTCTTCAGTTCTGCGCAGACCATCATCTGTTCCTATCCAGTACCAACTTCCGACACAACTCTCGACGCAATACGAACGTCAGTTAGTGAGACTGTCTGCGATAAGAGGGGACAAACTATTCACGATAGCGATGAGCTGCTTGATCGCTGGACGGAATATTCCAGTAAACAATTCAGCTGGCCTGCCGCTATACAGATCACTCCATCTGTAACTGAAGCTCCGTGGGCAGTGTCGTGTGATTCTCCAACAGAATCAGAAGTTCGGTCTTGAATTCAATCTCTGAAGCGAGGAAAGGCAGCTGGACTCCATTCAAGATGGAAGCTGATATTCTCTTAAGCTCTATTACTACCTTGTTGCGCAACATTTGGGTGCAAGGGCGCATTTCTTTATTTTAGGGCGAATCACTGATCGTCCCCATTTTCAAGAAAGGATTTCGCAGCGATTGCAAAAACCACCCGAGATAAGTTTGATCCCAATCGTCACCAAAGTGCTAGTCTCGATCATACTTCGATGTCTGACGCCTTTGTGATAGACCAACATCCGTGGACAGTAAGCCGGATTCCGGTCTGGCCGTAGATGTATTGATCAAATTTCTACGTTTCTAGCACATCGAATTCAGATTGGTAGGGTTTGCTGGCTAAAGCACGTATTACGTATGACCAGCTATCGTCTGCCGCATCCCGCTGTAGCCGCTCTAGTTGGAGAAAACCACACGGAGGTCAACAGATGATGTGGAGACGAGGCATGAAGAAATGCACTGAGCCGTTAGGTAGAGTAGTAGTCTCGCGACTTCTAGGTTGGGGTCCGAGAGACTCTACAACCGGTTGGTTGGAGACATTGAAGGATATGACAGCGAACCGACTGTAGTGGTGTTCTTGTAGTCATCTTTTATCAGAATGCTTGAAACTGTTTGTATGCGGAGTTCCATTGTGTACCCTGCATGTTGAACATAGAGGTTCACTTTCTTTCCTCTCCCTCAAAATAAATATTGAATATTACCACTAACCGTGCATGCATTGCGAGTTTGGCAGCGATCAGTGAAGTTCGCCTCACTGTATTTCGCTGTACGATGATGATGATCGCATCACTACTTACTATTTTGGGCTCCGCATCCTGGTGTTTCTGACTGACTGAGCCCCATGATCATTCTTCTAGTCTTGCCCATAAGTCGCCATCACGACGAGACTGCACATTGACGTGGTGTGATGGCTTGCGCGCCTCAGTGACCCTGCGAGCTACACAGGATGGCTTCTCACAGCCGTAGATCCAATCATGCCTGAAAGATCAACGGGTAGAGGCCAGACGAAGACCAGTCTCACAAAGCCAGCTGCTTGGACACCTCCTGGCTTTCTTCCTCTATCCACACCCGCCCCTGGAGAGGCCACTCCAGCAAATAAACACGGTGAGGGGCAGTTTACCGGTAAAAAAACCCGCTAGATGGATGTAGGAGCGGGGTACCTGGGGCTTCCTCTCGACGGTGGGAGAAGTCTTCGCACTTCATTGGACAGCTACCGCTCGCCCAAGCTGGGTAGCCCCNCCCCCAGCCAATAAGGTGCTGTCCCGTCCACGTTCCGCTTGTCTCATTGGATGCATGAGGCTGAGGGCTGATCCCGAAAATTGGACCGATAATCAACGCACCAGCGAACAACACGCTGAACCGAAATTTAAAGGCCTTGCGCGACAGGTCTCCAGAAGCTCCCACACGGGTGCTTCGTTCACGCTCCCG